GCAGCATAGGGTCGGTTGTTGAACAGTGAACCAACCAGGAACATTGAACCATCACCATGTTGAAAAAACTGCGAGGTTGCCAATTCGACCGATCGTGTTAAAACTTTTCTCGTAGGCACCCTTCCCCTCTCCCGTAGTCAGTAGGCATGTCGATTCACTTTGAAAAAATAGATCTCTGAATCGATTCGAATCGAACATACTAGAATTGATTATCGATTAAATCGAGCATTAAAAGATCGATTTTCGATTAATCGCGACATTTTCAAACATTAAGTTTCCAGAACATGCGATTTTTTTCTTAAATAGAACTTTTATAATTACATTTTACGTTTTATAATTATGCATTTGTTGCAGTTCATTGTATCTACAGTATATAAATTGTAAGGCGCTAATAAAATATGTAAATAAGGATTTGAGGAGCCGAAATAAACATCTGTTGGGTTTGGATAAAACAATTATATTATGATCACCAATATTTAAGAAGGAGTTCTTCTGTTTTGGAGCTAAAAGATTCTAACACTATAAGATAACCACCAAATGTTCTTTACTGGTTTAGGTATAAACAAATAGGCTGAATCCGTTACGTGAAAAATAGCTCTTCATGTTGTGTCAATGTGTTGGTCTTCTACATCTGTATTTTACTAGATGGTACGATTCCTTTCTGCTTATTAGTCCGGTACGATCCTCTAACCAATTTCAGTGGCCAAGCTGCAGTGCATGCACTGCTGTGTTCTGGTCTGATTAGAGAGCCAATATAATTACAGGCTGTCAGGCATTCCATCTTAGATGACAATGTATATGTAGCCTTCTTTTTTGATGTTGTTAAAATTCACATCAGACTAGGCTGTATGGTTTCAGAACTTTGCCTGCCTTAATTGTCGAATCGTAAAAACTACAACTAGACAATTTAGTAGAGATGAGTCGTATACTAGGTAAATTATGTACTAGGTGCACTTGTCCCATTCCGTACAAATACTCGATAATCGAAATACCTGTTCCACCTAGTCCATGAAGTACGCATAAAGTTTGGTATTGTTGGAATAGCACACACTTTAAAGTACGCTTAGTCTTTACGTACAGCCGATCCCGATACGTGAAGGTACTGAATAGTAATCAATTGTCCATTCATTCTTTACGCAGGCTTATGACGGGTCTACGTTAAGATTTATCTACATTCTAGATTGTCGGCAAAAGTAATCCGACTTTTGTCTTTTTCTCGTTTATTTTTTTATATTTTTGTTTCGTTTTTTAATTACCTACCTACAATTATTGTTCTTTTACATACGCGCGAAAAATCAGTCTTAAGAGTTTTTAAAACTAAATTATATTTTACAAATGTTACACTCAGACATTTGTCCGTAAAATGATCCCAAGCGACGCTGCTGCATTTTTTTTTAACAATAAACACTTTAATACCTAATAAAAAAAGTGAAAGTTGCTTAACCACATAACAAAACTTCGTTATGAAACCTATTACTAAATAAGTCGAGTAGGTATCATTCAATGCGGTGCCGAGATCACATTCGCATCGAGTATTTATTAGTACCTAGTCTATAAAATCTGCCTAGTATTTGGTTGAAGTCCCCGGGACTAGTCCCGACTAGTCTCGAGTATTGACAGACAAAGATAGAATGACTGTGGAATAGTGTAGTTAAAAAAGGACAGAATATCTTACACAACACGAGTACGCGTCGTGTTACTGTTATGCACATTGAAATATAGTTCACGAATGATTTAGGCAAACACGAGTGAGCGGCAAAGCAGACTAGTAACTATTATGCAACAAAATGCTATCTCGCTTTGCCGCGCCGGTACTTCTTACTTACTTATCTTCACGCACAATCCCTGACGGGGTAGCCAGAGAGAACAGATCGCCAAGTGTCACGATCCTTACATATCTCTTTCGCTTCTTTCAGATTCATTATCTTCTTCATACATGCACGTCTAGGTATCCGAGTACTCTTGACCCTACCCTCTTCGAGCAATTTGCTCACGTGGTCTTCGAAAGTTAGTCTCGGTCTACCTCGACACCTTTTAATATTAACTTTCGCGCTATATATTTTCTTCACCATTCGGTCTTCACTCATTCGCTCAACGTGCCCAAACCACCGAAGCACGCCCTTATCAATTTTTGTGATAAGGTCATCTTTCAAACCTGCCATATTGCGAATCTCTTCGTTTCGCTTTCGGTCGGCCATAGTAACGCCGCACATTTTACGAAGAGATCGCATCTCCACTGCATTCAACTTACTTTTATGCTTCTTCTGGCATACCCAGGTTTCGCTGCCATATAACAAAGTCGGTACCAACACTGCGTTATGTATTGCAAGGCGTGCACTCTTCGCTACGCCTTGCCTTTTGACTAACGCAGTCAGGGCACCATTGACTTTGTTCCCGGCAGCGACACGCCTGTCCACATCTAAATCACATCTTCCATCCCGGCTAAAAGCACTCCCCAAGTATACAATTTCATTTACCTGTTCTAGACATTCCTGATTTACCCATATTTCACACTTCGTTCTCTCTTCGTCCCTTTCAAATACCAGAACCTTAGTTTTATTAGCATTCAAACGGAGACCTTTAATTTCACATTCCTCTTTCATACACGTGACTAATGCCTGCAGTTCTGCCTCTGATGGTGCAATAAGCACTGCATCATCAGCATACAGCAGACAATTTACTTTTATGTCACCCAATTTCACACCCAAACAGCTATCTTTCAGCTTTTGTAAACAGCTGTCGAGATACAGTATGAACAGCCAGGAAGACATGACACAACCCTGTTTTACGCCCGTTTGGACGCTAAACATGGGTGACAGGTCATGCCCTACCCGTACACAGGCTTTACAGTCACAGTAAAGAGACTGCACAGCACTTAGCAATCGGCCATCCACACCATACCCCGGCAACAGTTCCCACATTTTCTTCCTTACAACCTTATCAAATGCTTTCTCAAGATCCACAAAAGCACAGAAAATCTTCTGGTTAACAGCCAGAAGCTTTTCCGTGATCATACGGAGAGAAAACATTTGATCCGTGCATCCTCTTCCAGGTCTAAATCCGGTACTTCTACTTTTTCAATTCGAGCGGGCCGCCGCGTTGTGCCGTGCGACGCGTAGGCACAGTGAGACTAGGTGGATCAAGTATTTTAAAAGCTGGAACAGGTGCAACCTAGTCTCGTTTAATACCTAGTGCCTAGATCTGTTCTAGTATAATATACGCTTCATCGCTTGTCACCAACACCAATACCATCACTTGCCACCACCTGTTTTCGTTGACTTATAGACTTAATAAATGGATGTATCCGTAATAAATGGTTGCGTAAATTTGTTGTATTTCCGCATGTTTTGACTACGATATGATAATACTTGCATAAGCCACTCGATTTTTTTTTACAAAGTAATTCCATGTATCACTTTTAGTTGATATTGTAGGCTGAAAAGAACAACAATACTTTAACAAATGTGCAAACTGCAACGTACATTTCTCGATAAATCGGTTTGAATCTAATCACTCCCTATTTATCAAATTGAAATGAATGCTACACGAACACAATACTGGTTATTTCGTTACTATAAACCGCTATAGAATATTTACTTACAGTATCTAGGCATTTACAAAGTATTCTGCATGTGCTCACAGCTCACAGTATGTATTGGTATGTATATTGTATATTTTTGATAATAATTAATAATCCACAGGTTCACACCACAGATTAGGTTAGACCGTTAGACGCCGGGATCCACAGGTAAGATTAGATTTAGATTAGAAATGAAATGACAACTTTTTTATCGTTACGATAATTTTAATTTAAAATAACGATATCTTTGGATGCGTTCATAAATATTTATTTTATGTGTTCAAATAATGAACCAAGTACGACCGATTGTTTTTGCGTCCGCCTACAAAAAATTAGAAAACTAAGATACCGCAGCCAGTTTAGGAACTTTATCGCTAATTCATGAACCGGTTCACTGTGTACCTTACGATCCTGGTTCACTGTTCAATGATAGTGTTATGCTGAAAATCAACAATATTTTTGATTGTTTTAGGATGCCAAGACCAAGAAATAAGGAAAGAAAAATTGGAAAACACAAAAAAGACGATATGATGTCAGCATTACTAATGATAGAAAATGGTAGCTCCATTAGGACGGCGGCAAAAACCAGTAAAATTCCCTACCCTACATTGCGCCGTTACGTTAAAAAAAAACGTGAACATGGTGATAATATATCACTCGAACAGAGGTATGATATTAATAAAGCGTTTACTGAAGAACACGAACAAATATTATTACAATACTACAACGACTGTGCACTAATGTTTTACGGTTTGACCATCAAAGAATGTAGGAAGGTGGCGTACGAAATAGCAAAGGTTAATGGCATTAAAATACCAAGCTCGGAAAGGGATAAAATGTCAGGTTTGGAATGGTTTCGCTTCTTTAAAAAAAGACATCTTGATATTTCAGTAAAGAAACTAGAAGCTGTAAGTCTCGTACGATATTTTTTAATAATTTGGAGGAATCGCTAAAACGGGAGCCTAGATTCGTGGATGGAACTCAAATATTTAATCTTGACAAAACCGGCACAACAACCATCCAGAAACCACAGAGAGTTGTGACTCCAACAGGAGCTAAAGTAGGTAAAGTGACAAGTGGAGAAAAGGGCACTCTTGTCACTACATGCTGTATCGTTAGTGCCCCCTGCTTTAATATTTCCCCGGAAAAACTTTAAAAAAGTAGTTTAGGTCTTGCGAGTCCTTCAGGTTGGATGAATAGTGACTTATTCGTGGAGGTAATGAAACATTTCATTAAGTGTTTAAGCACAACACCAGAAAATCCATCTCTGCTTATAATGGATAACCATGAGTCACATTTGTCCATTGAGGCTCTAGACTTTTTTACCTTTCATCCTCACACTACTAACAAATAACAACCCTTAGATGTAGGTTTGACGGGCCTTTTAAAGACATATTATTATCCCGCACTTGAGTCATGGATGCTGCAAAACCCAGGAAGACCAGTTACAATCTACGAAATAGCAAGATTTATTGGTCATGCTTATCCCAGATCTATGACTCCACAAAATATATCGACAGCTTTCGCAAAATGTGGGATTTTTCCCTATAATAAGGATATATTCTCCGATGAAGATCTCATGCCAAGTAGCGTGACAGATCGCCCCGTAGTGTCACAAAAATCCCCTGATGCTGAAACTTCTGCAAATCTAGACAAAAATAATCAGCAACCTCATTCGACTCTTCTAGAGACGCGTCGTTCAAGTTTTTATCGCGCTATTACCCCTCATCGAGAAATTCCATCTATATTATCAGAAGAAAATCACAGTTACTACCACAACGTGACACCAACAAAGCAACCAGATGAAGAATGCAAAGATGAAAATCATAAATCAAAAGAGCATATCATCACTCCACTAAAGTTCCGTCCTCTGCTAAAAACAAAAGTTGTTCCAATAAACGGAAAGGTAGAAAATTGGGTAAAAGCATGATAGCAACGGACACTCCAGAAAAGGAAAGAATAGCTGAGGAACGTACTGCAGCATTAAATAGAAAATGTCAGCATAAAAGAAAAGTTCTACAAGACTGTGGAAATAAAATGCTTCCATCAACAAGTAAAATCAGAAAGACACAATATAAGAAAAACAATAAAAAAATAGTTATACCAGATGAAGACAGTAAAACCAGTAAAGGTGAAGATATAATTCTTGAAAGTGAAACGGACCTAGAATCGGATGAGGAACATGACCAAGGATATGAAATTATTGATGAAGATTTTACTGCAGCGTAAGCCAATGATTAACGAATACGTCCTAGTCTTGCTACAATCTAAAAAACGGGCTGTTTATTGCGTTGCGAAGATTCTGGAAATAGAAACTGACGATGAATACTACGAGTACGCTTCGTACCTAAAATTCAAAGATCGTTTAAATAAAACTTTTATGTTTCCTCTAGAACCCGATATGGTTAATGTGAAATTCAGTGACATTAAAATGATTCTCCCTCCTCCTTGTGTGTCAGGTACAAAACGTCTGATTAAATATTCCTTCAATATAAACTTATCTTTACTAAATATGGCGTAAATATTTACTTTGATGCATTTTGATGTATTTTTTTCGTGATTCTTTAATTAGTCGGTAAATTAATGAAGACTGTTAATTATACTATTTGATTGAAGGCTGTGTTTAGGCAAAATATTAACCATTTGAAAATTGAATTCTTAACGCACGCTCGAAGCGCATAGCACCGTGGCAAGGTCACACCGCCCCCCGCCCGCGCACATTCCATTCGAGCGGTGTCGACGGGACACGTCGAGGCAATTCATTCTAAAAAATCTGCCGATCGTAACGGACGTTTGTTTTTTTTTTGCTTAATTTGCCGCGTCGCGAACGGAGGTGAACTTTGTAGCACTGTCGTCGGTCGCGCCACGTGTTGGGTCTTGACTGTGATCAACGGATTTAGTTCTCTTTTTGAAGTTAGTTGAATGTACAATAACGTGAATAGACTGACCTAGTGCATTGAAGAAAGAAATTGCCACCGGGGACGCGTTCGAGCTCTATTGGATTCGGGTTCACAACGTAGTGTGGCCTCCACGTGGTTGGTGGGAAGACTGGGGCTCTCCTGGAGCTCTGAATCACGTCCGATGGTAGGTATCGGAGGTGCCGAGCCTCATGCTCCTAGGACACAAGCAGAGTTGGTGTTCAGCCCCACCAGCGAACACCTTCACATTTTAGTCAAGGTAAATGTCCTCGAACACATTGTAGGTTTTCTCCCTAACGTCCGTATAAATGACAGCGCGGTTCGTTGTGCGTCGGGTTTGAGACCGGCGGACCCTCAATGGTCCCAACCTGGGCCTATAGATTTGTTGCTGGGGGCCGACGCGCTGGGGTTAGGCGAGATACGAGTCCTGCAGCCTGATGGCTTGTCGGCCGTGTCCACTGTATTTGGGCACAGTTTCTTTGGACCGGTTATGTGGTCTCCTCCCTCTCCGACGGCCGACCCGCTCTCTGTTGTGGGCGTGTCCCTTTCAGACGTCGTCCAGCGGTTCTGGGAAATTGAGGAACCACCACATGCGGCTCGAGTCAACCCTCTGGACCGTGAGAGCGAGTTGTTCTACCAGAACAATACGGGCCGTCGTGTCGACGGTCGTTTCGTCACTCGCTTACCCTTTCTGGACTCAAGTCCCTCTTTGGGTCAATCTCGTGCACTGGCCGAGAAGAGGTTGCTTTCCATGGAGCGCCGCATGCGGCGCGACCCAGCCTTTCGCGACAAATATGTCGAGTGCATGCGCGAGTACCAAGAGCTGGGTCAGATGTCACCGTCCAACTTCGAATGGCGTTCACAGGAGCACTACTTCCTCCCTCACCATGCGGTCTTGAGGACCCTTGAGAGTAAGATTCGGGTAGTTTTTGATGGCTCCGCCCCAACGTCAAACGGTGTGTCCCTGAACCAGTGTCTTCACTCTGGTCCAAAACTAATCAAGGATATATCCGACATTTTGACCCAATTCCGTCGACACCAAGTGGTTTTTGTAGCCGACATTCAGATGATGTTTCGACAATCAGTGGTCCATCGTGATGACCGTCGATATCAGCTGATATTGTGGCGCGAGAAGCCCAGCGATCCGATACAGGTGTTTGAGTTGAACACCACCACCTATGGACTCCGGTCCAGCCCGTATATCGCCATGCGAACCCTCCTTGAACTCGCTGAGAGAGAGCGCCTAAGATACGCTCGGGGAGCTACTATTTTGGAGACTTCGGTCTACATGGACGACATTTTTACGGGCGCCTCCACTGTCGAGGAGGCTCTTGTCTTGCGAGACGAATTAATTGCCATCCTGAAGTCCGGAGGTTATGAGTTGCGCAAATGGTTGTCGAACTCTCCTCATATTTTGAAGGACCTCTCAGGAGAGGATCAACAAGACCCTCATCTATTCGAGCACCCTGAAAATCCTAATCTGTTGACTGTGCTGGGCATTCAATATCAGCCTGTTCAGAATACGTTCACGTATCGAGTAAAACTTGATCCCCTTCCAAAAGCATGGACCAAACGCTCCGTGCTGTCTAGAGTAGCCCGCACCTTCGACCCTAATGGATGGATCATCCCTGTCATCTTTATGGCTAAGTGCTTTCTTCAAAAGCTCTGGATATCCGGGTTGGGTTGGGACGAGCCTATTAGCGGAACCCTCTTGCGAGAGTGGCTCTCCATGGTCTCCCCCCTTCCGGACATCAACCGGGTCTCCATGCCAAGGTGCTTCCTCCCTCCAGGGAAATGCAGGGCTACCCTACATGGGTTTTGCGAAAGGCTCTGATAAAGGCTATGCTGCTGTCGTATATTTGCGGACTGTGAGCTCTTCTGGTCATACTGCCGTTCATCTCGTACTTGCTAAAAGCAAGGTTGCTCCCATTAGGTCCCGCTTAACTATCCCTAAATTAAAAGCTTTTAGAAAAATTTACTTCGCAAATATTCGCGTTATAAAATAAAATGATGTGTCTTACCTAGTATGAAGAGCACCTCCCGCCCTCCCTCAATTGCGTGCACTATCCCCGTCACCAGCTACCCAGCAATCCCAGCACCGCTACTCCCAACACCACTACACTAGGCAAGACACACCACTGACGACAATACGACACGTGTTTCGCATCTACACGAGGCATCCTCAGGTGATATAGACTCTACGGGGGCTAACCGCTAAGTGAGCGGCGAGCTAAAACAAGTGCCTTTTATACAGACAGATGACGCAACCGCTCTCTAGTTAAGGAGCGAGCGACAGCGTCATGCGATAAAACTTGCGACCAATCACCGCCGGACTTACGCAGCCGTTTGTAAAATTAAAAACAAACCGCCACGCAACGGCCGCCTACCCTCCAACCACGCAACCAATCACCGATCACCGTGAGGGTGACAAACGATCATATTGCGAGGCTCTCTATTATTAGAGAGCAGGCTTAAAGATATTTAAGAGAGGTGAGTTAGTAACATTTGTTTGTTCATTCAGCAGTGCAACGGTACTATTATTACTTTTTAATATCTCTAACTGTTCCAGCACACACAGCCGCAGCCCTTTATTACACGTATGTAAGACTTTAAAGGAGTGGTCGTTGGCTAGGTTGTGTCCAGTGTCCAAAAGATGTTTGGCAAAATGGGATTTATCGGGATTGCAATTCCTGTACGCGGCTAAATGCTCTTTATAACGTGTCTCGAAATTGCGACCAGTCTGACCCACGTAAACGGCGTGGCATTCGTCACAAACAAGTTTGTAAACACCTGACTTTTGACGAATATCCAACTTATATTTATTACTACAGATATTTCTAAGAGAAATGTTTGTTTTGAACGCCACATAAACGCCGTTTTGTCGAAGAGTATTAGCTACTTTTTCAGATTTGGGGCCTAACTAGGTCAAACTGCTCACATATCGATGAACACTTTGAGGTTGAACCACGTACAGAGAGTTGCGAACAACATGCTTTTGTTTCTTTTTAATTAAATTGTTAATGAGATTTTTTGAAAAACCGTTAAAGACCGCTATTTGATAAATTATATTAAGTTCTTTTAAATAATTTTCTTTACTTAATGGGACAGTGAACAAATGGTTAATGTAACAATAAAAAGCGGCTACTTTATGTTGCCACGGATGACACGATGACGCGGGGATGACTGTGTCGGTGTGAGTTGGCTTTCGATAAATTTCGAAAACATGTGACGATTCTTTTCTTGTTATTGTTAAGCCGAGAAAATTAAGGCAACAATCTTGTTCCAATTCAAGTTTAAATTTAATTTTGTCATGGACTCTATTTATTTTATTGAGGAAAATAGTGTAGTGGTGTTGGGAGTAGCGGTGCTGGGATTAGTGGTGACGGGGATAGTGCACGCAATTGAGGGAGGGCGGAAGGTGCTCCTCATACTAGGTAAGACACATCATTTTATTTTATAACGCGGATATTTGCGAAGTAAATTTTTCTAAAAGCTTTTATATAATGGATTTTTGCAAAGTAACGCCTGATTCTATTAATTATATCCCTAAATTGGAACTGTCCGGAGCCGCTCTTCTTCTTGATGCATTGGACCCGTATGGTCCAAGCGGAGCATTTTGAGCCCATGATTTAAAACTTGAAGCGGGGCTCCGTTGTCAAGGGCGCTCTGGCCCGTCTGAACCTCTTTCTGGACGACGCGGGGATGCTGCGCGTTGGTGGACGTTTGAGAAATTTCCAATTGCCGTACGGGTCTCGACACCCGTTACTGCTCCCCAAGGATGGCGCCTTTGTCCGGTTGCTGATAAACCACCATCATATTAAGAACGCCCACGCTGGGTGTAACGCTCTTTCGGCTATTCTACAGCGGGAGTTTTGGATTTTGGCTGGCCGACGCACCATTCGGAGCGTCATCTTTAAGTGCATATCTTGTTATAAACTGCAGGCCACCATATCGCAGCCTATGATGGGTGACTTGCCACCCGACCGCGTCAGGGCCATCCGACCATTCGCTG